AGTAGAAGATTGCACAAATTCATGATCTAAGCCAATTAAGACATCAAAATATAAAAGAGGTAACGCCAGTCTGAGGTAAACTCTAAAACTCCCAAGTATCTGAAAAAAGTTTAGTTACCTGCGGTTGATATATTTGTCTCTGTAAAAAAAAGTTTTGTTGTAGTTAGATACAAAATGTATAAATGTACTGTGCACTGATTCACAAGTAAAAAATAAAAACAATGAAGCTGAAAATTGTAAGTCAGCCCTTTTAAAAAGTATATATACAAATCGCAAGAAGAAAGCCCCACTGTCTTTGGATCAGCTAAGGGTTTCATTAGAAGAGGTATCAGCTTCTTCACTGGGATGCTGGCTACCCAGACAGGACCTCCGGAGGCAAGAGTTTAGAATGTCCATTCTCAGGAACTCGTTGAGTATAAAACAAGATATAAGCTTGGGCCTTGCATACTTCATCCATAGTGCACATGCTTAGCTTGGAATCATTGCAGTGTACCCAGAACCCTCCTTCAGAATTATAGCAGTAGGCAGTATAGTGTCCTGAGCCAAATCCTTTCCCGTGGTGCATTACTACAGCAGGTAAGTCATAGATAAAGCATTCGGGTCTGAGGGATTTCAGGGTCTCCCTGCAGCAATAGGGCTCCATGTTTAAGATTTCTTCAAAGCCAAGATGAACACCAATCTTCTCTCGGTTATTACGTCCTGACCACCTGAATCATTTGAGGTGTAGTCTGAGAACCTGAGGTAGGTGGCATATCATAAGCTGTTTCTGGGCTTCTGTGAGTACAACTGGTTTTGAGGAAAACCTTCTACACTTTGAGTTACACTGGTCACATACATAGATTTTTCCTTCTAAAGCTTCAGTTTCTGTAAATTTGGCCAACATTTCAGTAACCAGACATGGCTGGGAAGCAATATCTTTCCCACTGCATTGGTATCTTTCTGGAAATTCCAGTGACAAGTCCCAGAAAGGTTCTATGGTATTTGATTTGTTGTCACATGCAAGACATGTAACCTGACTAAGAAGTTGTCCATGAAAAATGTTATTTACAACATTCAGAACTTGTTTGATAAGTTTCCTTTGAGAAGTGGGGATAAGAGCTGGTAAACTGGTACCAGTTGTCTCTAGTTCATATTGTATTTTATCCAAAAGTTCACAAAGAAATTCCTGAGCGACTTGTTGGGCATAACCACGAAAAGCAGGAATTAGTCTCCACACTGAGTGTAGCATAGCAAATGGTGAGACCAAGGCCCACTTTCCAGACCACATGACTTGGAATAAAGTATGCAATTCATGACAAAGAGAAATGTATTGTGAACTTGGCTCTCGTGGCTGAATAAGCTCCATCTTTCTACTTTTTGATGCCCCACCACTTAGTCCTGATGACAAACTTGAATGTTCAGACCGAACAAAACCTGTATCTTTTTCTTGGCATTCATTCATTTGATATACTACTGTATCTGTAACTGCTAGATGCTTATAAGCAGATCTTGTCTTATCACTTGCAGTCACTGCCAGCCATTGGTTCAGATCAAGCTTTAAAAAACATTGTCGAAAAATAAGTAAATGACTCAATACCTGAAGAACAGAATTCATATAGCAAGTATTTCCCAAATTTCTCAATCCTGTTACACCAGGAGTTACTATTGGCCTTCGTTTAACTGAGGAGTCACTGATTTTTTTAAGTCCTACATCTTCTGACGTAGGTACTACTTCATCTTTTGCTGGTGATGCTGGAGTTTGTGGTGGTACTTGAACAGGAACTATTTCTATTGTGGTGGACTGAGCTAGACCTTGCAAACGTAAACTCTTTCTTGCAGGCATACTTTCCAATTCTGCTTTAACTTGATCCTCTAATTCTTGCCGTCTTTTCTTCACTACTCTTTTTGCTACTATCTTTTCCTGAAATTGTTCTTCTTGCCTTTTTCTTCCAATGGGTGACTGTTCAAACCACATTCTAAAGATTTTACCCATGAGCATCCTTCTCCTGTGCCAAAGAGCGGTATACATTTGATCTTCATTTTGAAGCAGAGATTGGGCGCCATCATGTAAGAAATAAGAATCATCACTTGTACCCATAGACCGTAAAACCCTTCCACTACGAGCAGTGCAGTGATAATTTTGACTTTTGATTGCACTTAATGTACTTCGTAGTAACTTCAGGTCTCCAGTTGCATTATCGTTAAGAACATAATCATCACAAAGGTAACAAAAAACACACATCTCATTCACCTCCAATGCAATAGGATGACTGCTTTCTTGAAAGTGCTTGAGTGCATGCTCTTCAGTATATCTTCCACAGGCAACATGGGAACAGCTAAGGCAAGCCCAAATCGACTCAGTCGTATTGCAGTCCACACAGTGCCATTTCAGCCCGAGCCGGAGCGGCCATCTTGGCGCTCACCCCCGGCGCCCCGGACCCCGGCCCCCGGTTCTGCGGCAGCGGCCCCTAGATAAGTATATTTTTAAAACACTGCAAATAAGATTATACTAACCACATTTGGAAAAATATTTGATATATATGATTAAAAGTCTAGGAAACATTTAATTTTTAAATATTACTCCTCAAATCAATGAATTTGTATAGATCTTTTAAAAAAAATTTAATACACTTCTCCCAGTAAAAACATATGCAAAGGCCAAATAGGTGATCCAAATGGCCAATAAATATATTGAACATATTCAATAATGTCAAAACGTATTTCTGCTTCTAGCCGTAATGGACTAACTACTACTAGACTTCCTGACTCATGTTATTTTCAAATGTTAGACATAACAGGGCTGTGATCCTTGAGTGAAGGGAAACAAATGAGTTTGAATCCTGCCATTATCTTGCTTTCTGGATAGGAGAATTTACCAGACCTCACTGCAGGAAGGGGGACCCCAAGCAGACTGTGGCAGCCTTGCTGAGCTGAGGAAACAAACATCAGAGATTCAGGGGGGCTAAGTAGGCTACAGTATGCAGGTCAGCGTAATAGAGGTCAGGCAGCCATACAGAGAAAGACCTCCAGAACTCTGGTTAAGGGTCCTCTATGAGGTGAGATTTCATGATGTTGTATTCATAGACAATGCCATAATCTATGTAGAAAATTAGGAGGAATCTACAAAAAACTACTAATTAGAGAATTCAGTAAGGTTGCAGGATACAAAAAAACATACAAAGATATACAAATGGCTGACAAGCACCTGAAAAGATGCTCAACATCACTAATCGTTAGGGAAATGCAAATCAAAACCTTGATAATAAACATCTCACATCCACCGGAATAGCTATTATCAAAAAAGAAAGAAAAGAACAAGTGTTGTAGAGGGGAAATGGGAACTCTCGTGCACTGTTGGTGGGAATGGCAAATGGCGCAGCTGCTATGAAAAATAGAATGGCGGTTCCTCAAAACATTAAAAATAGAATTACCATATGATTTAGAAATTCCACTTCTGGGTATATATCCAAAAGAATTTAAGCAGAGTCTCTAGGAGATACTTGTTCATACATGTTAACATCAGCATTATTTACAATAGGTAAAATGTAGAAGTAATGTAGCATCCCTCTATGGATGAATGGATAAACAAAATGTGGTATACAAATATTAAATACAATGGAATAATATTCAGCCTTAAAAAGGAAAGGACCTTCATTATATTTACATATTTTAAGGTTACATGCTGGTTATTCTGTAGAATATCCCCAATTTTGGCTTATCTGATGTTTCCTCATGATTAGATTCAGGTCATGCATTTTGCTGGGACTATTGCAGAAGCGATGTTCTCTCTTCATCCCATCAGGTGGCCTATGAGCTTATGTCTTGTCACTGGTGACATTAACGTTGGTCATTTGAGTAAGGTGGTATTTGCTAGGCTTCTTCGCTGTAAAATCGTTCTTTTTCTATTTGTAATGTACAATATTTTGTGGGAGATTGTTTGAAACAAGGTAAATATCACACTTCTCATCCAACTTTCCCTCACTGTATTAGCATTTATTGATATTTCTTGCCTGAATTAATTATGATACCATGATGATCACCAGATGGTCATATCCTAATTCCATCATTCCACCAACCTTTATTAGCTGGCATTCAACTGTAGAGAAGAATTTTCTCTTATTCCGGTTGTATGACATCCACGTGGACCGATGGATTCCTGTTGTATTTAATCTGCTAACATAATTTATTTTGATGCCCCAATTATCCTAGATTTGGACAATGAGAATTCTTTCAAGCTGACTCTGTCACCTTTTGGCACATCTCCATTTTTTGAGCACTTTCTGGTGAAACAAGATGTTCTATGCTCATCTTGTACCTTTGCTGCGGAATCAGCATTTCTCCAAGGTGTCCGAGTTTCTTTTGGAGAATGGTACTTAGAAGGAAAGATCTGGGGGCTGGATATGCTCTTTGCTACATGGACATTACTGCTGTTAGGCCCTGTCCATGGACAGAGCTAGGAAATATATGTATGTGTGTACGTACACATACATGCCCCTTTATATGTTTGTATCTAAAAATATTTAAAACCATGAGCTCACACCAATACCACTAATTAAAATCCAATACTGCAGGGTTCGTTCTAGCTTAACCCTTTCCATATAAGTAACTTGCTTCTCTGACAGCAAGACACCTAGCTCTCACTGTCCCCAGTATGTTTATTTGCTCAATCCCTTTGTATGTAATGGGTTTTCCAGCCCCATCAGGCTACTGCCTTGCTCAGCCACCTTCCTTCCTTGAGCTCTGACTCCTGCTGCGCAGCTTTCCTCATTCAAACCTGCCTAGGGGCTTTTAACTGGTGATTCAGGAAGCAAGGAAAAAAGGGAAGGGAGGCTAACTTCACCACTATACGATTCATCTGTGTATCCAAAAACCACTTGGACTTCCTAAATCTATTGAAATAGAAAAAAATTTTAATAAATAAAATTTTAAAAAAGAGAAGGGAGGGAGGGAGGAAGAGATGAAGGAGGGTGATGGGGGTTTTACATATAAAAATGTAAGTATGGGGGGAGGGGAGTCAAGGGCAACATACATGACCTAAACATCTGTACCCCCATAATATGCTGAAATAGAAAAATAAATAAATAAAAATGTAAGTATAGAATATTGATCCAATGTCAATGATTATTGATTTTTAGAGGAGCAAATTAATTTTTGCATTTTAAATGTATCAATCTTCGGAAAATAATTTAAATAAATCTGGAAAAACTGGAGACAGTCTTAATACAGTCTCTTTAATCATTTTCAAAATGCTGAAGTTTGTGGTTTTGAAGCCAGTTTGAATTCTACATACCTGTTTTGAAATGGGAGATATTTGCATGATTAGTAATTATGGCGATTTTCCAGTAATTAGTGCCGTGTTTTTATAAGAGTTGTTTGCATTTATTTATTTTACAAATTTTTAAAATAACCTTTATTCTCTTAAAAGTTAATATATGCAGTATAGGAAACTGAAAAACACAAAGAACAAAGTCATCCACAATCACAGCAGTTTACAGTTTGAGTGTCCTTCTAGGTCCTGAGTGTATATTTACAACATCCAATTTTATGGGCTTGAGATCATACAGTATGTATCATGCTTTTTCACACATCATTAATATTTACCAGTCCAAAATCCCAAAGATATATAAGTATTTCGATAACCAAGAATATACTACACCAACTCAATCTATTAGGAACAAATGTAATCCTGCCTTTTCTGGGACAAAAATCTCACAGACGACAAAAATAGCAATAGGCCTCTAGATAAAAGTATTGGCAGAGTTCCAATTAAAATACTGCGTTCCCTCAATGTTCGATTTAAAATGAAACATAAAGCAACAGAGCACACTAAATGTAATGTTTCTAAGAGAATTCATTATCAGATCTATACCATTAAAATATTAACAGGAAGGTATGTTTCCACTGAATTACTTAATATATTCTTATAGTATAGCCAAAAGAGATGCATATACGTCAATGGCTGCTGTCAAAATGCAAATATGAACACATCTTCATACATCCCTCCTTTCATCTTCCTTCTGCCCCTCTGCTTTCAACCTAATGAACAAGTTCTGCTATACACTGCTCAGAGGTGGTTTGACAATTCCATGTCCAAGATGCATCGTTTCTGTCAATTATAACAAAAAGATACTCACAAAGTGGCTAATTCACTAGTTCTACTTTTTATCACACATCTCAGGACATCTCCAAAGCTTAGATGTTATGAAATAATGAACTTTGTCCACAATAAACACAGACACTTTACTAAAAATGCACATACAGACCTATGGTTATAATCTAAAACCATCTTCTAGATATGGAGATACGGGCAAAGAGCCCTTCCCTTCACCCTCCTTATTCCCCCTCCTCCCCTACTCCAGTGACTAAGTACAGGACTATGTCTAGCTTCAAGTGGTGGATTAATAAAGGTCACTCCCAGAAGACACTCCTTCCTAAAAACTAACAAAAGGACATTTATAAAGGGATTATTTTACTACCTCTACTTTTAACATACTTTGAGCATTAGGACATGTTTATCCTTTAATACACAACAATGTTAACTAAAATACACATACAGCACAATGGTACAGTTATTTTTGAGGATGGGGTAGGGTTAGTAGACAGGCTGAGCAAGAAACAGAATTCACCTTATTTGGAATTCTGTCTCCTAAATAACTTGGAAAATCTGATGGACTTTCCGATTAGCTTAATGTGATATAAATGAGCCAAAATTTAAAATGATTATTGTTTTACTAAAAACTACTAGGACATCCAAGTTCAAAATTCATTGCATGATACAATTATCTTCCCAGCGATAGTGATGGCTTTACACTGGACCAAATCTCTTACATAGCCTACTTTGTGATGACTCAAATTTAAAAGAGTAATGACCAGGATTTTGAGATAGAATCGGTCCTTTGGAGAAGCTGATACTTTGTTCTTATTAGCACCACATAATAACTAAGTGGTTCAGCATATAAAAAGCGTAAACATATTTACCAGCTAAAACTATGAGAATCTAGAGTGATTATTCAAGGAATTCAAAGTAGGTGCTGAAAGAGGTCTCGAGGACCAAAATCGATGAAATTGATAAAGTCTGAAGGTTGTTCTGGTGGAAAATGGTAGTACTTGAAAAGGCTGGAGAGAAAATAGAAACAGCTGAATTGTGCTGAACCCTAGACTTTTATTCTGACCACAGAAATGAATTGGGTTGAGGAATTGTGAGTTCAGGTTTGCTACTCCTGCCCTCTGTAGGAACTACTGGTCTTTGGGCATTACCAATAGAAGCAGGCAGGGATGCCTTCTCGCCTGCAGATGTTTAAATGTCTACATAAAGTTTTGTTCTCTTATGCGGGGAATTGCTAGTGTTAATTACACCTTTTATCTGTAAGGTGTTTTTCTCAGTCCATTGCAGATATATTTTTGTAAAATACAGTAAAAATGAGTTACTAGAAAATTGAAATTAAAATGCAAGCCCTGAGTTTTTATTATTAGATTCAACAAACATAAAATTACCTTGTCAGATTGCTATTAAGTTTCTAAATCCTTCCTCTCAATCTCTGGTTTATCTTGTAGCAGACAGGTAACAGCTTGCAGACTGGCATCAGAGTGCAAACCACGCGAGTGGCACCGCTGTCCACTAGCAGAGCTTCGCAAGCTTTAATGAGGGAAACACTCATCCAGGGCTCTGGTTTAAATGCAGTTCCTACTTAGTAGGCTTGCGTAGGCCTAAAGTTCTGTATTTCTGACAGGTACTCAAGTGACACTACTGCTGCTGGTCTGTGGCCCACACTTGATAGCAAGGCTTAAAGTTTAAATACTCTGTAAACTATTTTATTTGATTTTCACAGTGATCTTTTGAGCTAAGAATTCTTATTGCAGTTTACTCATGTTTAAGTCAGATTTTAAAGTTAGATTTATTGAGATACTTTACACGGAGTAAAGTTAACCCTTTTTAGTGTGCAGTTCTGTCATTTTTGACAAACACAGTTGTGTAATCACCACCACCATAATTATTTAATAAGCTATAGGACAGTTTCATCACCCCCAAAAGCTTCCTTATACTCTTTTGTAGTCAACCCCCTTCCCCCAACTTCCAGCTATGGCAACTACTGATCTATTTTCTGTCCCTATAGTTTTGCCTTTTCCAGAATGTCATGTAATGCATTGTTGCATGTATTATTCTTTTTTGTTGCTGAGTAGTGTCTCATATGAATGCAACACAGGTTGTTTATCACTTCACCTGTTAAAGAACATTTTGATTGTTTCTGGGTTTGGCAATTATGAATAAAACTTCTATAAATATTCACGTAAAAGTTTGTGTGAAGACTGGCTGGCCATAGTGGCTCACGCCTGTAATGTTAGCACTCTGAGAGGCCCAGGTGGGAGGAATGCTTGAGGCCAGGAGTTCGAGACCAGCCTGAGGAAAAGCGAGACCTCGTTTCTACTAAAAATAGAAAAAATTAGCCGGGCATGGTGGCGCATGCCTGTAGTCCCAGCTACTTGGGAGGCTGAGGCAGGAGGATCGCTTGAGCCCAGGAGTTTGGGGTTGTGGTTAGTTATGATGATGCCGCGCACTCCAGCCCAGGTGACAGAGTGAGACTCTGTCTCAAAAAAAAGTTTCTGTGTGAAGGTAAGTTTTCTCAATGAAAATGCTGACAGATAATTCTTCTAATTATTACCGCCCCTCCCCCCAAAAAAATTAGAGAGAGGAAAACAAAAGCATGTTAAGTGTGGAGTGACTTTCAAGCAACCTCCCTTCAAAAGTACAGAGTATCCACAGTAGGGGTTAAAAGAGGTTTTCAAGGACAGAGAGAAAATCTGATGAAGTTCAAAAGCTGTTCCAAAGGAAGGGCATACTTCTTAAGACTGGAAGTTGGAAGTAATAGAAACATAAATTAGTTTCAAGATGATTTTACTAAACAGGCAGTCTTTAACTTACAAACTCTAGATTCATACGTGTCTTAAGCGTATAAAATGGTATGAAAGGAGGTAAGTTCAGGGTCTGACTTCCTGGCTTTTGTTGCAACAACCGGTTTTTGTTCAGCGATTCAGAAGGTGTGGGGAGATCCTAATCTACCAGTACAGAGATGTATTCTCTCCCGCAGACACCGGAAGTACGATCATTGCTATTAAGTAGCTGCCAAAGAACAGAGAATTATCACCATTAGAGACACCTCATTTTATTGGGGCTTTAGAGAATTGAGACCGTTCGCGTACGGTGTGTAATCTTGCCCGGAGGCAGATGCTCACACCCGCATCTTAGACGAGAGGCTGCGCAGAGGCTCTGCCGCATCCGCAGTCCGCGCGTTCCCTGGGCGTGCGATGCTCCCTCCTTTAGGCCACGTTATCCGCAGCGAGACGTTCTGCCTCCCCTGAGTGCTAGATCCCAGAGCTCGGGCCTGCACCTCGCGCGGGGGCCCGAGGGTTTCTGCAGAGTGCTGCTGGCAGGCTTCACCGCGCTCCGTCACGGCGGGTCAGCCGACTACCCTCTGCATCCCGGCAGGCCCCGTTTTCGCCGTGCGCGCCCGGCCGGCCGATGTCGATCTCTTCTGCAAAAAGCCCCAGGGCGTCTCCGTTATTATTATTATTATAATCGCACCAACAGCTTCTTTCGGATGTAACCCCTCCGCTTCTCAAAGCAGGATTCCCGTCCCCGATGATCGACCACCCAACTCTCTGTGTGAGCGGAGCGCAGGCCCGGAGACGCGCCGTGTCCGTGGAGCTCCGCGAAAGAGAGGGACCCGCGGGACAGCCCCGCCGCGCCGGTTTCTCGGCGGAGAGAACCGCCCGGGCCGTCCTCCGGGGCGCCGAGCGGGAGCGGCTCTCCGTGGCGCGCCCGCCCGCCTTGCCCCCGCCCGCCCGCAGCCCGCGCGCCTCCTCGCGCCCAGGCCGGCGGCGAACTCCGCCCCAGCGGCGGCCACACCCCGGCGGCGGCCCGCTCGCCCCTCCCAGCCGGGCCGCGCGGGCCCGGGGCGCGCCCTGCAGCCTGGGCCTCCGCGACTTCGCTCGGCGCCGGCCCGCGCCCGGGACCATGCTGCGCCGGCTGCCGGCCTCCGTGCTGCCCGCGGCGGCCTGCCAGGACGCGGAGCCGCCGACGCGCTACGAGACCCTCTTCCGGGCGCTGGACCGCAACGGGGACGGCGTGGTGGACGTGGGCGAGCTGCAGGAGGGGCTCCGGAGCCTGGGCATCCCGCTGGGCCGGGACGCCGAGGAGGTGGGCGGCGGCCGGGCGCGGGGCGCTGCCGGGACCGGGCGGGGCGCGGCCGGGCCCAGCGGGGGAAGGCGGAACTGGGGCCCCGGCCCTGGCGGGGGACCCGGGAATGGGCCGTGCGGCCAGTTGCCGGTGACAGAAGTGGGTCAGTGTCCGAAAGGCTACCGGTGTTTTTCCAGAGAAAATTAGCAGGGTGACACTCTGGCCCACGGGCACTGTTACCTTCTTAAACCCGGCCCACGGCACTTTGTTCCGGATCCATCCCGGGTTCTTTACCTGTTTTTTTGTACCTTTGCGAACATTTAATCTTTTTTTTCTTTTCTTTTATTTTTTTAGCTCTCAGACTCCAGTGGGTCCCAAGTTCTGTAAAAGGGCTCACGTTTTGTGTCTCTTTGAAGCTGCGTTGTTACGCCAGCGAGTGTCGTCTACTGTTTCAGAACTGTTTGAAAACCAGTTGTGTTTCCCTCGACTTCCTGTTGGGGAGGAATGGCGACATTCCATTGTTCACAACATTCCTAAGTTAGTGCCCTAAGCGCATAAATTGATCTTAAGGTTGACCCATCGCTGAGCAATTTCACCTTCTCTGAGTCATTTGAATTGTGTGTCTGACGTTCACAGCTTAGCAGGGTGGGGATATTTGGAATGTCTCCAACCCCGCTGGGGGTTAAGAGGACACCAGTGGCGTTCCCTGTCCAGAGGAAAGTGATTGGGTTACTGTAAGGGCTGACAACTGTTTTATAGTTGTAATTTAAACTACTCTTTCAACGTCTTTAGTAGTTACAGGCTCTTCAGTTTACTATTTCTTCTGGAGTCAGATTAAGTTGAGACACTTTTGTGGAAACTGCCCCTTTTGCCCAAGGTTCATAATATTCACTTACGATTTTATAAAACTTCTGACTGATCTGTAAGTAGGTTTGCTATTTCATTCCCGACATCTATCCTTTTCTCCCCTTAAATCTTGCCAAAGGTTTATTCATGTTAATCACACTTTGAAAGAACCGACTTTCGGTACTTTCTGCTGATTGTCTCAGAAATGGCCCAGTTCAGGTTTCTCATCCTATCCACTCATTGGCTGGAAGCAGCACAGGGAGGGGATGGCTTTGGAGCTCCCTGTGTTGCATCAGGAGGTGCCACCAACTAAAGGATGTCAGTCACCTGTGCTCCACACAGCAGGAGCCTTTGAAGGAAGATCTGAGTGGTACATCTGCATGGGCCCTACAATAGACAAAAGCTGTTTGGAGTCCTCAAGAATTTTTGAGATTGTAAAGGGATCCTAAAACCAAAAAGTTTGAGAATTGCTGCTCAACATCACTTTTTAATGACTGCATCATATTCCGTTGTATGTTTTTATCATAGTATTGTTATCAATTCTCTATCGATCATCATTTAGTTTATTAATAGTTTAAAAATGTTTATAAGTGAAGTTGCAATGGAAGTCCTTTGTATTCGTTTTTTCATTTTGCTCCAGTTATCTTCATAAGATAAATTTTGAGTAGGAGGAATTGCTGAGTCTGAGGGTACACACATTTTAAATTGCCTTTCAGAAACTTTGCACTCATTTGCATTCTTCGTTGATTGACACCGTTTGCGCCACACCCATTCAGGATATCAGTCTGCATAAACTTTCCCATTTTGAAAGTGCCGTTCCTTTCAGTTTCTGTCTTAGTCCCTTTAGTGTTGCTATAAAGGAATACCTGAGGCTGGGTAATCTATAAAGAAAAGAGGTTTATTTATCTCACGGTTTTGCAGGCTGGGAAGTTAAAGGAGCATTGTGCCAGCAGCCACCAGGCTTCTGGTGAGGGCTTTCCTGCTGCATCACAACATGGTGGAAGGTCAAAGGGGAAGCAGACACATGCAAAGGGGTAAAACCGAAGGAGTGTCCTGGCTTTATAACAACTCATTCTCTCCATTCGAGAGAAGGGGAGAGCAAGAGCGAGAGGGAGAGAGAGCACTCGCTCAGTACTGGGAGAATGGCACCAGGCCATTCATGAGGGATCCACCCCCATGACCCAAACATTTCCCTCTAGGCCCTACCTCCCAACACCACCACATCAGGGGTCAAATTTCAACATGACTTTTGGTGGGGACAGACAAACCATATTTAAACCGTAGTAGTTTCTCTGCTTTTTTATTCTGTTCAGGTCCTCCAAAGGATTGGATTATGCCCACTCATAGTGGTGAGGCTGCATCTTCTTTACTCAGTCTGGATTCAGATGCTAATGTCTTCTAGAGGCAGCCTCACAGATGCACCCAGAAATCATGTTTTACTAGCTATCTGAGCATCCCTTAGTCCAGTCAAGTTGATACACAAAATTAACCATCACACCTGGGATGGAATTAGGATTACACAGTCAACCTTTACACAGAGGCATAGGTCATGGGTCTCTGTAATGTCAAGGATTGAGGAGCTTGTCTACTTGAGTACCTAGAAACAAGAATTGTGGGGCGACAATAGTTTGCCTCTAAGACAAATACTGAACTTGTAGTGAAATTTCTATAAATTTTCATCTGATGTGATCTCTCCATGTTTCCAAACTTTTGTAATGAATTCAACATTTAGAAGACAGCAAATTTCTAAGTTTCTTTAGATCTTAAATGGAAAGAATATAGAAAGAAGAGTAGAATGTAGAAAATAGGCATAAGGAAAGCAATAGGTAACTGTTACTAAGTTCCAAAACCATCCAGGGAAGAGAAGAGACTTCAGAGTAAGTGTTGAGACAAAATTAAGAACCGGTGGGAAGTGAAATCACTGCAGTTTTTTTCTGATATGACTCCTCTTTTCTATACATTCCAACTCTCTCCTCATTGTGAAATTACTCGCTTGGAAGAGAGAAAATTCACATTAAGTTTTCGTGGGACTCAGGAATATAAGAATATGAACTAAGAGTAGCAGTAGTATGAGGAACAGGCAGATACAGTATTTAACCATTTTTACTAATTTCCCCATAATTGTCTAGTAATTCTGTCTCCTTTTAAGAGTCTTTGTTCATTTTCTTCTCCTTCTCCTTCCCCTCACCCATCTCCTCCCTCTCCTCCAGCTCCTTTCTGTTTTTCATCAGCGGTCCCATTAGAACGTTCTAAAAGACAGTCCCAATATTTGGGTGTCATTTGAGATGCTCTGATGAACAAAAATTACATTTCAAGACATTAAAGAGTAGAGGAAATAATTTAAGTTTACTGAAATGGAAATCATAGGGAAAATAAAATGATGGTGAAGAGTCAGCAGTTTTAGGTCGAAGTGTGTTTACTTTGGTTCAATTTAGGCTTGGAAGACTTTGGAACTCTGTAGGCCCACTCCACCACCCCATCTGGATTTAGAAATAAGGCAATAAAATGAAAAAAGGAGATCTTATCCAGTAGAACTTTACAGATATTTTCCTGTCCTCTAGTCCTGACAGCATAGTGGCAACTTTTTTATTAATATGTGAAGGAGAAAGGGGAATTGGCTTTGCAGAGTACAAAGGTGTTCCTGTACCTAAGTTAAGTGCTAGATGATTTAGCAAATGTGTTACGTTAGCTTGGGGAAATTATAGGCAATTCTAAAACTAAGGTGTTTGCCAATTTTTATAGGCACACACTCTTACTGTAATTTTCTTAGGAGAGATTTAGAATCATAGGAGGTATAGGACTTGTAAACCTGAGAAAATTACTTTATGGACTGAATATTTGTGTTTCCTCCCAATTCATGTGCTGAAACCTTAACCCCCAGTGTGATGGTATTAGGAGGTGGGACCTTTAGTAGGTGATCAGGTCATGAGGGTAGAGCACGTACCGTACGCCAAGCACTGCACCCTGGTTTCCTCATCTGCGTTATCAGAGGCCTGATCTGGATGCTGTCTGTGGACCAGTCCTGTCTAAAATGTTATCTCTGTAAAGTTCAGTTGGGCTTTTTAATTCCTAAAAAAAACTGGTGTCTTTTTCCTTTTAAAGCTAAATGCTCTTTATGTTTGTTTAAAGCCATTGTCTTGGATTTGGATTTGCAAATCTAACTTGTATTTGCCTATTTGATATAAACTAGCCTTTCATAAGAAATGCCCATCCCCCTGATCCCTGGTTTATGCCGTAAACAAGTTCAATCCTTTGAAACACATTTCTTCCTTATCAAAACAAAATTTTCTGCAAATCTGTCTTTTGATTTTGGTAAGAGGTGGTGTGAGCCATATAAACTCTCTGTATACCCAGTGATGACTGATGGGGGCTCACATATCAAAACTAGGCTCATGCCTGTAATCCCAGTGCTTTGGGAGGCTGAGGTGGGAGGATCACATGGAGCCAGGGCTCAAGATGAGCCTGGGCAGCATAGCAAGACCCTATCTCTAAAAAAAAAAAAATAGCCGGGCAGGGTGGCACGTGCCTGTAGTCCCAGCTACTCAGGAGGCTGAGGCAGGAGGATCGCTTGAGCCCAGGAATTCAAGGCTATAGTGAGCTATGGTCATGCCACTGCACTCCAGCCTGGGTGACAGAGTGATACCCTGTCTCTAAGAAAATAAAGAAATAAAATTAAAAAACAAACAAGGGAGAGACATCCCTGGAGAGCTCTGCATCAACCACACAGGACAGTGTATTTCAGGGGAACACTATTGTGGCTTTTTTCAGGTGGCAGTCAAAGCTCTAGGGTGTTCTGATATGAGATCTTTTCCCACATGTCTCCAACTTCCCTAGTACGAAAGTCATTTATATAGACAGAATTCAATTGGTTAAAAATAATAGAAATGGTAATTATATCATGTAGTGTTAAGATATAAAAGATAAAACATTTTATTATGATAACTAGTTGGGTTTATGAATAATGATGAAAGTTGAGAGAGGGAATATACAAATGGATATTGGCCAGACCATAAATAAAAATAGAGCTTTGACCCACAGTCTGCAGCAATCTGCTGAGGAAACTAGCTCCTTAGCTACAGTAAACAGACCAAGAAAGCAATGTCTGTTATGTTAGACTTGCAGGAAGTCAGATTGCTATCTCTAGTGACAATATAGGAAGCTGAGCAGTAACCTTCTGAACAATCAGCCCCAATGGTTAGGACTTGATTAGTAACTGACAGCTTCCCTGATTTTTGCCTCCCTTCCAACTTAGGACCAACCAGAGAAAGCCAAATGTGCATCCCCAACCAATTAGATAGGGTGCCCCACTTCAGTTAGCCAGGCTACAGCTTCCCCATGCCCTGCTTCCAGTCAGGACACACATGAAGCCTACCCTTTTTTTCACTGCAAAGCTTCCTTACTCCTTTGTCTGCCTTTGGATCTCTGTCAAAATGCAAGCAACAGTGTCTGACTCGCTTGCTGTAGCAAGCTCAGGATAAATAGCCTTTGCTTTTCTCCTTTAGTTGATCTTCATTTATTTCCACAGGGGAATATATAAAACAATTCAAAAAAAAGAAGCCCTAGTCTTTCATATTGCAGTAGTCCTACCTTATCCCTGGGGGATGTGTTTCAAGACCCCCAGTGGAGGCCTGAAACCAAACCTTATATACACTGTGTTTTTTCTTTTCTTTTCTTTTCTTTTTATTTCAGGGTATTATGAGGGTACAAACATTATGGTTACATTTTATGTCTTTGCCTCACCCAAGCGAGGATTAGAGGCATGCCCTTCCCCTCTACAATGCTCACTGTGTCCTTTAGTTGTGGGTTTACCCCCTGCCCATCCCCCTGATCCCTGGAGAGTATTAGTGCCATGTGAGCACCCTAGTGTTCAATAGTTAGTACCAATTTGATGGTGAGTGCCAGTGGAGCCCATTCTTCCGATCTTGTGGTACCTCACTTCGGATAATGGGCTCAAGTTCAGTCCAGGAAAATATAAGAGGTGCTAGATCACTGTCGTTTCTTATAATGAGTAATATTCCATTGTATACATATACCAAATTTTAATAATCCACTCATGAATTGATGGGCATTTGGGTTGTTTCCACATCGTTGCAATAGTACACTATGTTTTTTCGACCCGATAACCTAGACAGCTACTAAGTGACTAACAGGTTGGTAGCATAGACAGTGTGGATGTGCTGGACAAAGGGATGATTTACCTCCAGGCTGGACAGAGCAGCATGGCATGAGATTTCATCATGCTGTTCAGAATGGCATGAATATGAATAGTTTGTTTCTGGAATTTTCCATGTAATATTTTTGGACCATGGTTGACCACAGGTAAATGAAACCACAAAAAGCCAAACTGCAGATAAGGGAGGACTACTGTATTGGTAAGCCAGAGTCATTAGGTGATTGTAACTCTAGGAGTCTTTATTTACCCTAAGAAAGGTTGCAGAAACAAGGGTAAAAAAATTGAACTATTCAAAGATAGGGTTAGGAATGTCCTTTAACTTGTAATTGCCAAAATGGTAGCTGTTCACTGATATTTCCATCGACTGAAATACAAACTTCTTGAATGAAACTTTGGTACACAAATGGGGCCCCAGAATGCTGTGGCAGTTACTCTTGGGTTATGCAAGTGTCAGTGTATGTTTTGAGTAATCAGGAAATAATTTCCAGATGAAGATCGTTCTCAATTTAATTTGTAAAAGGAATTAAATAGTAATAATTATTTTTAAGTGACATAAATATATTTGCTTTTAAAACTATCAGTAGTAATTGATGATATTTTAATCAAGTTTATTTAGGTTGCGGGTAAGAGATACCACTCAAACTAGCTTAAATAAAAAAGGCCGGAATTCTCTGCAGATACTCTATCAGACTAAGGAAATACTTTCCTATTGCTAGTTTGCTAATAGTTGTTAATCATGAATTATGTTGAATCCATCAAATGTTTATTAAGATGATCATATGACTTTTCCCTTTTATTCTGTTAATGTAATTTACAAGATTTCTTTTTTAAAAAAATATTAACCCAACCTGGCATTACTGGAATACATTCATCATATATATATATATATATATAGTGTGTATGCAGTCATGTGTTGCTTAGTGACAGGGATATGTTCTGAGACATATGTCAGGTGATTTTGTCTTTGTGTGAACAGCACAGAGTGTACTTACATAAACCTAGAAGGCATAGCCTACTACATACCTAGGCTCTGTGGTACAGCCTGTTGCTCCTAGGCGACAAACCTGTGCAGCATGTTACTGTACTGAATACTGTAGGCAATTGGAACACAACGGTAAGTGTTTGGGTATGTAAACATATCTAAACGTAGAAAAGGTACAGTAAATATATGGTATTATAATCTTATGAGACCACCATTGTGTGTGCAGTCCATCCTTGACTGAAACGTTATTATATGGCACATGACTGTACATGTAATGTATTATCTATTTTGTGTATTGTTAGATTTGATTTGTCAACATTTTATTTAGGAGTTCTGCGTCTATTTCAGTAGTGACATTGCTTGTCATTTTCCTTTTTTGTGATGTTTCTGTTAGGTTTGAATCAAAAGTATACTTATAAGATGGGTTGGGAAATGTTCCCATCTCTTCTAGTCTCTGGAAAATTTGTGTTACTTCTTTCTTAAAAGTTTGGTAGACATTACTGAAAAACCATGTGGGCCTAGAGTTTTGTCCATGGGAATGTTTTAAAATTGCAGATTAAATGTCTTTAATACTTATAGGAATATTCAGATTTTCTATTGTCTTATATCAATTTTTAATAAGTTTTTCTGGGCATTTGTCTATTTTATCTCATTTTTATATTCTTTAAGTAAACCTGTTCATAATATCATTAATGTTTATAGTGTCTAGTGATTTCCATATTTACATTCTGACATGGGTTATTTGCCAATTTCAGGAGTCTATCAGTTTTGCTGGTCTTTTCAAAGAGCCATCTTTTGACTTTGTTGATCCTCTCAATCTATGTTTTCTTTTTCATTACTCTTTGTTCTTTGTCTCTTTCCTTCAACTTCTTTTTTGCTTAATTTTTTTCTTATTTCTTGAGATTGAAGTATGACTCCATGATTGATCATTGATTTTTGGTCTTCTTTTCTTTATGCATTTAAAACCATAAATCTTCCTCTAAGCATAGCTTTAGTTGCAGCTCACAAGTTTCAGACCTGTCTCTCTGAGTCTAGAGCTTGGAAGTCTGACTGTTGTATCATCCTGCCACACGTAGCATTATTTCCCCAGAACAGCATGACAGTCAGAATGATAGGATTTGTAAGTTTTGGGTGGGTGATTGTGAGTGTCTTAATAGGTAGAAAGTTGTATTTTGGGTGGTGGTGGGAGAAGTCTTACATGTAATATCAAATTTTATATGGTCTTATTTCTTTCTCTAAAGCAGTGACTGCTATGGATAGAAATGGACAGTTTGATATGACAGCTTTTTATAAAGATCATCTTTAGGAAAAGATTATTTAATTTTGGAAATCATAGGAGAAAAATACTATTTTAAACATTTAAATCCTATGCTAGGTCAAGTGTTTGTCTTCCATCTTGGGGTTTATAAAGTACATGTCAAGAAATTTAGGGTGTGATTACATTAACCTTAAAAATGCTGTGTTTTATAGAAATCAATGCGTCATTTTTCTAATTAAAAATTTAACACATGGCCAGATACGGTGGCTCAAGCCTGTAATCCTAGCACTTTGGGAGGCCAAGGCAGGAGAATCACTTGAGCCCAGGAGTTAGAGGCTGCAGTGAGCTATGATTGTGCCACTACACTCTACCCCAGGCAACAGAGTGAGACCCTGTCTCAAAAAAAAAAAAAAAAAAGCTTTGTTTTATAGAAATAAATGCATCATTTTTCTAATTAAAATTTTAACCCAAGATCTGGAATCTTTTTGCAATGGCAGGGTTACTTTTATTATTGATCTTTATCATAATGAAAAATGATATATCTGGCCAAAAATTGGTACTGTAGTCTTATAGGAAAACAGCCAATCTGCTTGAAATATGTGTACAAATAATTTAGTGTTTTAGCCCATATTGGCAATAAAATCTCTCTGATTTTTTTTTTTTTTGTAGAAAATTTTTACTACTGGAGATATCAACAAAGATGGAAAGCTGGATTTTGAAGAATTTATGAAGTACCTTAAAGACCATGAGAAAAAAATGAAACTGGCATTTAAGAGTTTGGACAAAAATAACGATGGTGTGTCTTTCTTTTCTATTCTTTGCCAGCTGTGAAGAAGTACTTCTTATGCTTCCAAGAGACTAAAACAATGCATATTTAGTCACTCATTTTTGAGATGATAATTATTACTTGTGATAATACTTATTTTTCTTAGTAATGTGACTTTTATATAGAATTCATACTTTTAGCAAAGAAAACTTACAGATAGCTTTGTCTTCTGAATTAAAAACTGTGGGTAGGGCCTGTTGTAAAATGTAGCTACTATGGAACATTATGCCAATTTTACTAAAGCTATGGGGTAAAAATAATAGTTATGTTCTCTTGCCTTCTGGATAAGAGAAATTTATTTTTGTTTGTATATAGGCATAACTATTGTGTATTCTAAAATTTAAAAAGCTTTCAGGTCATCTTGCATTTGATAGTCATTTTGAAGAATTAATTTAGAGAAGATACTATTTGATACTGAAAATTAGAAAAAATAGCATATAATCATTTAAGCATGTATCTGCTGGTTGGGATTATGGTTTCTCTATTTAGATTAATAGTTTGGAGTTTGTCTTTGTTTGTTTTCTGTTGCTATAACAGAATACCACAGACTGGGTAATTTATAAAGAAAGGGAAATTTATTTCTTAGCAGTTCTGGGGGCTGGGAAGTTCAAAGTTAAGGGTCTGCATTGGGCGAGGGCCTTCTTACTACATTGTAGCATGCTGGGAGGCATCACATGGTGAGACAGAGCAAGTATGTTACCCCAGATCTCTCTTCCTCTTCCTGTAAAGCCACCAGTCCCATGGTGAGGGCTCTACCCTGACAACCTTATCTAATCCCAGTTACCTCCTAAGGCTCCACCTCCAAATTCATCATCATATGAGTGTGGAGATTAAGTTTCCAACACATGAAATTTGGGGGACATATTCAAACTATAGTATAGTTGGAGTCCCAGTTATGCCGGGCAAAAAGCAAGGGTCATGGTAGAAGAAAGGGAGTCATGAAGCCTTCATCACCAAAGGCAATCTTTTATAGGAAGAGGGAATTATTAAAAATTTAATATACACCACACCCTTCCCTGTATATTAGTCAGGGTCATTCCATTCACAGACTTGGGGAACAAGTTAAACAAATAGGTTGAGAGAAAATATAGTTCATATCAAGGGTTGGCAAACTTTTTGTAAAAGTCCAGATAATTCTGGGCCACGTGGCCTCAGTTGTAGCTATTCATCTCTACCATGGTACCTCAAAGGCGCCCACAGGCAAAATGTAAATGAATGAGCATGACAGCATTCCAATAAAACTTTATTTGTAAAGACAGTCAACCGGCCTTATTTGGCTTAAGGATTGTAGTTTGCAAGCTTTTGGTTTATACTGAATATTAACTAAAGTTAAATTCAGAGTAAGTTATTTCAAACAAACAACTAAACCCTTTGAGTGATTTTGATGATCACTGAAGTCTGTGGCTCTTAGCCAGGAAGACCTGAGTTTGTGGTGGGAAGTAGGACTTTTGGAACGTTTGTTGCCTCTAGTAACTTTACATTACATGTCTCCAAGTCTAGCCTTAGTTTAATCTTTGAGCAAAATTCAGTTCTTGCACTCAGCTTTCCTTTTTCCCAGCAAACTTTCATCCCAACCTGGACTCTCGACAGTTCAGTTACGGAGATAAGGTCGTACACTGATAGGGCAGGCAGTGGCTGGGAGATGGAGCTACCTCAGGATCACCTGCCACATCGCTAGAGGCTGATCATCTCAGCACAGAAGTTGTGCACACAGCAACTGTCCATTGCAGAGAATTCTAAATGAACCAGAGGAAATAAAGATGAAATTTTAATGATACATTTGTAGCAAATGTAAAGTATCCCTTTACTTGATCTCGTTTATATATTTTGAAACAATTTCTCATTATAGATTTATGTTTTTATTTATCAGACTTCTTTAAAGCAAAGCATTTACAGTCCATCCTCCTTATTTGCAGATTCTGTATTTGTGAATTTGTCTACTCACTAAAATTTAACCCTAAAGTCACCCCAAAGTGTATACTTACAGCTCTTTGCCTGCCATTGATGGACTCGCACAGGGCAGTGAAACATTTGAGTCGCTGAGCACGCGCATTCTTGGCTGAGGCAGAATGTGGCAACGCCGCCTTCTTGTTTCAGCTCATACGGTAAACAGGGGACCTTTTCTAGGTGTATCTTGTGCCACATTTTTTTGCAGTTTTATACTTTTTATTGGTAATTTTGCTTTTTAAAACGTTCCCCTAATGTAATGCTGAGGCGCTATCCTCGTGCTCCTAAGTGCGAGAAAGCCATGGTGTGCCTCATGGAGGAAATACGTGTGTTGGATAAACTTCACCATGAGTTCAACATTAGTGAATCAATGATGTATATATTAAACGAGGTGTTTTTTTTTTTTTTTTTTGAGACAGAATCTTGCTTTGTTGCCTGGACTAGAGTGAGTGCCGTGGCGTCAGCCTAGCTCACAGCAACCTCACACTCCTGGGCTCAAGCGATCCTCCTGCCTC